CACGTCTATCCAGACGTGTTCAGATTTTGCGTGGCCTGGGCGCATGAGAAAAACTACCTCCTCAGCAGCTTCTTCGCAAGAGAGACATGGTAGTGGTGTCCAGTCAGCCAGTCAGACAGTCACGTCAGGCAGTCCGATCTCTGTGTGTGTATGCGCATAACGTTGCAGATTTGCTTTGACCCTGTGCGATCCAAGTGGCGGGGCACCCGCAGCAGTGGAACTACGACAAGTCAGAGTGGTACAGGGTCCCGAAGGAGGACAAGCCGGTCCAGACGGATCTGGAACCGAGCTATTTGCAAGAAAACCCGTACCGCAAGAAGCCACCTCCGCCTGCGGGTCGTCCCCCCTGGGGTTACGGTTCGAATGCACAGGCGCCTGAGGGCAGTGATTGAAGCTAGCTGGCTGCGGCAATATTCTTCAGTGTTGGTGTGTCAGAGAATGACTCATTGGCAACAATTTATAGCATCCCCCCATTCAGGTGCCGCAAGACCAGGCTGCGGAAGCGAAGGCAAAGGCAACTTGCAATGCAATTTGTGGAAATTGCCCCCACTGTTCACTTCACTGTTCACGTGGTGTCCCAGCAGCCAAACTTCTCCAGTGCCGCTGCTCAGGCGTCGTCAGAGCAAGACGCAGCCACTTGGTCTGCAAGTACAGTATTAATTATTGGTGTTCCTCGATTCTGACAATGACAATCTTGTCGCTGCAAAGGCAAGACCAAAGCAGCCCACCACTCCTAAGGACAATGACAAGGTGACTTGCATTGCAAGATTTTGCTTGGTGAGTGCCTGCTATTGATCATCGTTGCTGCTCAGGGGCCGTCAGATCAGCCTGGCACGGGAAAGGCCGAGACGACTTGTGCGGCAACAATTATTTGTAGCACGTCGTCTGGATGAGCTCTTTTGTGACGGCGGCACTTGTTCAGGCGCCATCACAGCCGCTCGCCGCGCAGAAAGCCGCCACTCCCAAGGGCAAGGCGACTTGCTTGCTCCGCAAGAAACCCGAGTTTCTTATTCGGT